CTGCTTCGCTTAGGAACTGAAGACTAATTAAACGCTTTCATAATCAATATATATATATATATATATATATATAGATAGATAGATAGATAGATAGATAGATAGATAATCTTTGAAAATTTGTAGGTCTGATAAATGGGATCGTGATTACGATTCCAATGTAATAAATTATAACCATGGAATATTAGTGTTTGAGCCTTTTAGATTACACGCGCATACACACACGTATATATATATATATATATATATATATATATATATTGTTCTTTTGTTTCATATATGAATAGATTGCTCTGACTACCTTAACAGTAGGTTAATAATATTCTCATAATAACAATAATACCTTATATATATATATATATATATATATATATATATATATATATATATATATATATATATATATATATATATATATATATATGTATGTATGTATGTATAGTCACCCACAGACAGACTGTTTCGCTGCTCTTCGTCGTGACTAGACATCCGATTGCCTCTAGCCGGGATCGAAACCAGACACAGACATATATATGCATGCATTCTCTTTGGAGGGTACACACGCACTTTCTTATATAAGTCTTAAGTATATATAGTACAAATGTGCTTCCGAAAAACACACCTGTATGCGATCAATATCTAATTAAATTAATATTTAATTAAGACGTTTCACTTTCTTGTTTGTCAGGAAAATATAAATTAGTTAATGTTTTTTTTTTCTTTTTTTGTACACAGTAAAATTAATACCGTGAGCACTTATATGTTTGAAGGATAGATAGATAGATAGATAGATAGATGATGGACTGAAATAGATAGATAGATAGATAGATAGATAGATAGATAGATAGATAGATAGATAGATACATACATACATACATACATACATGTATGGAAGTAATTCCAGGAAAGGAATCAACTTATGTAATAATAGTATCTCACTAGTAAATATATTAGTCAAAATAGTATATTCTTTTTCTAATTTTCAGTTCATTTGTTAATCATATTATTATTATTATTATTATTATTATTATTATTATTATTATTATTATTGTGTATGTTATATTTCTTATTTTGTATCCTGTAGAGTCAGGTCCAAACTAGGATTCTTAAACCCTATAGGAGAATTTATTTCGTTCTTGTGATATACGCATTTCTTTTCGCGTCCAAAACCAGGAACCTAAGTTCAGAAATCGCTTTATGACATTTTCACTGATCATTTTTGTAAAAAAAAAAAAAACAACAAACAAACAAAAAAACAACCCCCCAAAAAACTAAGATCCCACTCATTTTACATAGATAAAACCTTTCGTAATATAAGAGCTGTACTTGTGATTAATTTTTTTTTGTATTTCCTTAAGGTATAAGCTTCCAGGAATCCCTTCAATGACTCTATCGGCATATTTTCCAATCAATACGAGGGCTCCAACTACAAATGATGTCCTCATGTGCCAGATTTTTGAGATTTCCATTTTTAAATTTTATTATTATTATTATTATTATTATTTACTTCTTTTAGCAATGCATTTTTTAATCATTCACCCCAAGAAAGGCAATAAAGTCACTAAGATTCATGAAGCTTACTGTATGTGAAAGAATATTATTATTAATGAGCGAGAGAAATAAAAGACGGAAGTTAACGACTGACATTGCATTTATATCGTTGAAGATCAAAATTGACGAAAAAGCAAGAAGCTGGAAGAAGTTTCCACAAACGAGTAGTTCAAGAGAAGAAACTGTTAGCATAGAACTTACGGTTGCATCTAGCCATTCCAGCTGGAAAAAAAGATGAGACCTTGCCGCCAATCAAGTAGAAGATTAAAGTGGACTGGGAAGCAAGAAGCCGGAAGAGAGTTCCATAATGGAGAAAGAAACTGTTAGCATAGAACTTACGGTTACATCTCGCCATTTCAACTGTTAAATGGTGAGACCTTGCCGCCAATCTAGTACTGCACTTAAATTTGTAAAGTTGAGATGGCATATAGGAAAATTCATCAAAACAATTACCATGAAAATATTGATAGAAAAAGCAGAGGGAAGCTACGTTACGTCGGTGGGAAAGTGGCTGAAGGTGAGATGCCAGGTCAAGGCCAATAATACCACTGATTCTCGTCCGAATTTTATCGAAAACAAAACAAAAAAAAACAGGAAAATTATAAATATGTCTATCTTTAGGCATAAACAAACATTATGTCGTGGCGTTCACATCACTTCAAAAATCATCTTCCGAAATGACTAAATTAGCCTTCGTTGCCTGATTAGTCATGAGCTATATTTGTCAGACTAGTGATAAGAGATTTAAGTCCCACACGAATATTTATTTCCCGATCCATCGCTCAACGATCGTAGAGAATTAAAACGACCTTAGAGTTGCGCTAAAAATAGCCAAAGATTAACAAGAGTTTTATAAGGTATGTATTAGAAATGATTTTAGCATTATCACTTTTATTAGAAGAACTTACAAATCCGCTTGTGTATGAATGTTGTTTTTATTTTTATTCTTATCTTTCGTTCGATTCAGACAGTGTATACACGGATACGATGGAGGCGAGACAAAAAATGAATACAGGTACACGTGGGGCGTTCAAGTGCATTGGGCGCCCCTGTAAGACGCAGAAAGAAAGCAATCGGTATGCTTCATTTCATCGTCTGGCACGTGTTTCCTTTTGTTGTTTCATGGGAGAAAAAATCGAACTCCCTTAAGTTAAACTGATCAGCTATACTTCAAGTATCAGCTATCGATTATGGTGTTTTAGATTTAGCTGATTCATCCAGACTTGTGTCTCCAAATTCTAAAAATCAGGTCGGTGGTTCGACTGGGGGCGAGGAACCTTGGGATAGAGACTTGAAGATGAGTGAATGAAAAGATATTACTATGGTGTTGATGGAAAATTTCCCAGCTTCATTACTTGTCCAATGATCGCGAAATCTTAGAAATGTCAATGACGCTTTCATCGGTTCTTAGTTGATTGTGCAACTCGACCAACTCTGGGATAAACAAATACCTTTATATGAGGAATTCTGCTGCTACAATTTTCAGAATTACAACTATTTACCGTTTTAAGTGTGTCTGCAGTTATCGCGAGATCTTCCTGGAAATTAGTAAGGGGAATCCTCAGTTACCGGGAGGTGGAGACAATGCGAAATTTCGGTGCAAAACGGTGGACTACATGTTCGAGCACACAGATTGACAACAGATAGAGGTACAAATATCTATCTATCTATCTATCTATCTATCTATCTATCTATCTATCTCAATCTGTTTGTCATCTGTCTGTCTGCATATCTATTTATCTATCTACTTATCGATCTACCTCAGTCTATACACATCTATCTATCTATCTATCTATCTATCTATCTATCTATCTATCTATCTATCTATCTCAGCCTGCTCATTATCTATCCATCTATCTATCTATCTATCTATCTATCTATCTATCTATCTATCTCAGTCTGTTCATATCTATCTATCTATCTCTCTATCTATCTATCTCAGTCTGTTCATATCTATCTATCTATCTATCTATCTATCTATCTATCTATCTCAGTCTGTTCATATCTATCTATATATCTCAGCCTGCTCATTATCTATCTATCTATCTATCTATCTATCTATCTATCTATCTATCTATCTATCTCAGTCTGTTCATATCTATCTATATATCTCAGCCTGCTCATTATCTATCTATCTATCTATCTATCTATCTATCTATCTATCTATCTATCTCAGTCTGTTCATATCTATCTATCGGTCTGTCTGTTCATATCTATCTATCTATCTATCTATCTATCTATCTATCTATCTATCTATCTATGTCTTTTATTGTTTTTTTTGTTTTTTTCTCTTTGGAAGGACTATGGAAGTACAAAATCTATCCATAATGATTTTCGTCCCACGCGTGTTTGGTCAATTCATAATCCATTTTCGATGGGTTTGTTGTCAATGTTTTTTAGTATTCGTTCTCTAAGGTATATTCTGTAGAAGTACAGTGTAACCCGGATATAAGAGACCCGGATATAAAATAAACCCGGATATAAGAGAGATTTTCTCCGGTCCCAAATTAGAGCCTGTGTTAATATATAAAATAGACCCAACCCGGATATAAGAGAAACCCGGATATAAGAGACTTCTTCTCCGGTCCCGACAACTCTCTTATATCCGGGTTACACTGTAGTAGTAGTATTCTTAGGCTGCGTAAGAAGATGCGGCGTTGGGATGTCTTCCTATACAGCCACCAATACAATCGAGCTATTTTAAAATAAAGTAAGCTTCATGCTTGGCTTGAATTGTTTTATATAAAAAGCTTTAGTAATTTTTAAGTCGCCATCGGCAGTCATATTTCTTCGGAATGATTGTGTTATCAACCAGAATTTTTCTAATAATCTCACGCAGTTTTGTTTGTTGGCGTCAGGATGATTTTTTTTATGACATCGATATCAGTTAAGTGGTTTGTCATCCTTCAAAAGAGGGTTGTTGTGTCTCCAATGTCGATTATGAGTTCATGACATTTATTGGGATATTAAACATTCTCCCCAAATAAATGCAGTAAAATTTTAAACTACACGCATACACACAAACACATACACCCACACATACACAATTAAGAAATAAAGTTAATTCTTATATATATATATTTCAAATTTTAAACAATATAATGATCATCAATCTCTTTCTCTTTTCTATCTCCACACACATATATATATATATATATATATATATATATATATATATATATATATATATATATATACGTGTGTGTGTTGTGAAAAATAATTATATTGTCTAAAGTTCATGTACCGTATATATTATTAATTTTCTTGTTTTAAAATTGTCCAGTATTCATGGGGAGGAGTGTTCAATACAAAGGAGAAAACGCAGATACAGACAGTATGGAAGACAGCAATCAACACTGCATAGTGATTGCGAATTTCCTGCCATAAACGATCTTCAGACCAGATGTTTAGATAGATAGAAAGAAACACACACACACACAGATGTGAAAAAATTAAGATAGAAAAAGATAGATATGGAAAGAGGTAATAGAGATAGATAGATTTAAAGAAAATTGATAATTACATAGATAGATAGATAGATAGATAGATAGATAGATAGATAGAATAGATTTAATTAGACGGAAAGTGTTGTGAAGAGGTGGAAAGATAGATAGATAGATAGATAGATAGATAGATAGATAGATAGATAGATAGATAGATAGATCGTTCTGAACATAGATAGATAGATAGTGAAGAGACTGAAATAGATAATGAACAGAATTAGATAGATAGATAGATAGATAGATAATGATAGATAGATAGATAGATAGATAGATTTAGATAGAAGATGATTTAGATAGATAATAGATAGATAGATAGATAGATAGATAGATAGATAGATAGATAGATAGATAGATAGATAGATAGATCAGCGTTACAGGGAATTGACCATTTTCTCAGCATCTTTAGCGCTGTATGTACAAGTTCCACTTGACGCCAAAGTCCCAATTGGCTCTCAGGACACGGTGGGGGGATAAGAAAATGCCATTCGAAGCATGATACATCAAAAGAAAATTTATTTTATGTAACAGAGGATACAAATGTCACACCCTCCCACCTCATGAAGCTCAACTTGTGGCTATTAGCCCTGATGCTGCGGGCCTACATTTAGCTATGTTTGCAGCAGCTAAATACCTGTTTGGATGAAACACATTTAGAAAGGATTTTGATTTTGCTTTTTGACATTCACTTACCTACGTTTAGTCTGATATAGATTTTCTATATGATATCCTCGGTTAAGTCAGAAAGTAAGCAAGGTATCAAGAGATAAGAAAATTCCCTTAGAAACGAAAGAATGTTGAACTGCTATGTAATATTTCATTTTCTATATGGAAGTGAATCTTGAACAATATTCTCACAGATGAAAATATATTTGAAACGACAGCGACGTGGTTCTACTGAGTGCTAAGAACATCATGGACATATGATCAACAAGGAAGTTCTGAGGAAAATAAAAATTATAAGGAAACTCTTATTTACAATAAAAAAGACAAAGGTGAAATTTCCCCCATTATGAGGAAAGGGTGCGTGACGGAGTGAGAGCAAGAAAGCCACGGAGAAGCAACGAGTAACTTGCTTAATGAGTTTGTGTACATAGATGGCAAAATTAAGGTTAGTAAAGTATCATACGATAGGAAGGTATGGAGAACCATGATCGTCACTAACGTGAAATGACATGGCACATAAAAACTAACAGAATACAGTGATACCTTAAGTCGTTTCGAGTTAAGTCATCTTCGAAAATACGTCGGTTTTCCTAAATATTATACGGAAAAATAAAACTCGCCTGAAATTCTTTTACTCGAGTTTACGCCGGCCGTTTAAAATATTAGAAATGTCAGACACTAAAATAACATTAAACATATAAAATCATATTTAAATAACTTTAAAAAATATTAAATAATATATATATATATATATATATATATATATATATATATATATATATATATATATATATATATATATATAAATCATAAAATCATCAAAAAAAAAAAGTAGCATAATAAAGTATTTTCAGCGGATGTTCTTATTTCTAATTCCCGCTGACTCGTGCGTTGTTTTCCGCTCGAAAACTGATTTAGGATTCAGACTTGTTTACATTTGTCCTCTGCCGTTGACTTTCTTTCAATTACATTTCAGTTGTGATCTATAATACGTTTTTGCCCATGCCTCCGAAAAAAAAAGTCCCATTGCAAGCGTTAATGCAAAATGTAACGTTATATCTTTGAAAGATAAGGGGGAATTTTTTTTTTTTTATCATTCCGAATACTGTTTGTAGATAACATAAATAATGTAATCGGCAATGAAAAGTACTTACTTGTAGTTGATAGTGTGATTATTTAGATTTAAGTCGTTTTTCGACTTAAGTCGTGACTTCGGGAACGAATTAATGACGTAGGGGGAGGTATACATGTATATATTTGACGTTATTAAAATCTAATCAATCCGGAACTAGAGATTCTTGATAAAATCAAAAGAAGAATCTGCAATATTATTGATCCTGATCTGGCGTTTCGGTTTAGTCAATTTGCCTCCATTTGCGTCTTCTATAAATACTTTCAGAGTCATAAGATGACCTCTTTCATATGGTGCTTAGAATTTAAACTCTGTACGCGACTCGTGAAGAGGTTTCATCATTTTAGGGTTGAGCTAGCCTATGGGGCAATGAGTGGTCCTGATCTTACATTAGAGCATCACTCAATTTTCCACCGTCCTAAGGTTGCTTCCCTTTCATAGTAATTCTTCGGATAAACTCTTCGTATGAACTCTTTTTATTTCGTTTATTTTCTTTTTTTTTATAAAATTACTTTCAATGATTTATTTACACTATATTGGGACTATATTTCCATCTTCGTTGTTGCCAGAACATTTAGGGTTGAGCTGGCTAAGATGTATCCGGAGGTTCTATGCAAACAATTTCTTTCCTCGCATTTTCATTTTCTCCGTTCCGGCTCTATGCTTTCCAGACAATTTTAATCTGCAAAAATGAAATGCAATGTCAATTGCTATCTACTGTATACCTGATTACTCTTCTTTTGTTCTCGTTCATAGCAATGTTTCTGTTTTCTAATTCTTCCACACCTAATAAGCCCGTGCGTTTTAGTGGCTTTATTTCCTTGCATAGGGTAAAATCGATTAAAAATATATATAATATAAAGCAAAAAATATATTTATCGGTAATGCAATCTAATCTTCCCTACGTAGTAATACGAAATATATAATGTACAGTAATAAATTCCATTGTTTTGATAACTAGAGGTATTATTCCAAGCTAAAAGGAAAATACATCATGGGAGATAACAATGGAATATCACAGAAATAATTAGTGACAACATGTTAATGCAATGTTTTGTTTATTTCTTTTATTTTCTTTAAACAAATTCCTTTAATGATATATTTACACTGTTTATATTGGGACTATTATCATCATCTTTGTTGTTGTTGTCTCAACATTTTGGCCGATCGATCCTCAGGCCTTCCTCAGGCGTATCTGGCTAACCCACAGAGAATTCAGAACTGAACCTATTATTTAATCTCCGGTGGTAGACTGTTCCCGTTCCATTTCTCATGTCTAGGTATATCTCGTCTAGTTCTTTTTTTTTTATTTAATACTGTTCAGTTATTGCTCCACTGAGGTCAAATATACACTGCCCAACCAAGGGATTGAACTCACAATCACTATGTCACCATATTAAGAAACCAACGCTTTTTTCCCCACTAGGCCAATGTCCCGATTTTAATGATTTCAAAAACAGAACTCCTTCGTAAATGCAACAAAAGAATTAATTGTTTCCTTAAAAATCCGAGATTACTCATGCAGAAGTTATAACTAAAGCAATTGAAAGTTACTTAAATATGGTCGTCAATTTTTGACGGTACGTGTACGCTATGAAATAATTACATTTAATGATTAAAAAAGCAGAATCATTCTAATATGCGACATTAAATTATATTTTATCGACATAAATTCCAGATGACGCGTGCCAAAGATATAAGCCAAATAAGTGCAAAATTACTTAAATATGGTTGTTATTTTTTTGACAGTACCTGTAAACACGTATTTTGATATTTATAATTTGAAAGGGGGTTTATTGTAACTGCAGATTTATATATTTTGAGCTACACTAATATCATTATTCAAACTATTGTCGTGATTTTTGTCGCCATATTTACCACAAAGTTTCGGCCCTTCAGTATCTGTCTATATTTCTGAGATGAGGTATTATGTATACTATTTACATTATTCGGACTATTGTCCTCAACTTTGTCGCCATATTTATCACAAAGTTTCGGCTCTTCAGTATCGGTCTATATTTCTGATATGAAGCTATATGTACACTATTTACATTATTCGGACTATTCTACTCATCTTTGTTGCCATATTTATTACAACGTTTCGGCCCTTCAGTATCTGTCCAAATGTCTGAGATGAGGTATTATGTACACTATTTACATTATTCGGGCTATTTTCCACATCTTTGTCGCCATATTTATTACAACGTTTCGGCCGTTGTACGTATTAACCGCTGGTTAAAGCAGTGGAGAACATGGAAAGGGGAATTAACAGGAGATAACTGATAACTGACGTCCATCAGACATGGCACGTAGAACTGGAACAGTCTACCCGAGTGAGCGAAATAAAGCGTTCAGTTCGACATTCCAACCACCTGAAGAAGGCCGGAGCGTACAAAGGCCGAAACGTTGTAATAAATATGGCGACAAAGATGAGGACAATAGTCCGAATAATGTAAATAATGTATATAATACCTCATATCAGAAATAAAGACCGATACTGAAGGGCCGAAACGTTGTAATAAATATGGTAACAATGATGAGGACAATCGTCCGAATAATGTAAATAGTGTACATAATACCTCATCTCAGAAATATAGACAGATTTTGAGGTGCATTCTGAAGCAATAGATACAGTATAAAGTGAAACATTTGAAAAAAAAAAAGATGTAACCGCAAGTTCTATGCTAACAGTTTCTTTTCTCGCTTGTGGAACTCTCTTCCGTCTCCATGTTTACCTGACAACTTTAATAAAATGTCAATCGCTATCCACTGTCTTCTTCTATATTTTCCTCTTTAGGGGTGTTTCTGTTTTCTAATTTATTCACATCCAGTAACTTCTTGTCTTTCATTGGCTTTATTGCCTTGCTTGGGGTGGAAAATCGCGGAGGTGTGTGTCTGAATTCCAAATACAATTAGGTGATCAAGTATCGAAAAGAGATATGATCAGCCGAACATGTCACAACCGTCCCCTACTAACACGCATTGATCCAAAGTGGTAGGTTAATCGCTCATTTCTATATATCGATCTGGGAAATACCAACGTTGAAGAAAAGAATATTTACAAGCTGAGAAAAAGAATTACGCTTAGAGTTCTTTTTATATAGTTAAACATAGAGAAAACGGATTTGTTAAAAATTATACTTTATTCTTATTCTGTCTCGAATTCTCATTGGCCGCAATTTTGGCGCGCTGAACTTGTGCTTCATAAAACCTGTATAATAATTCAACCAAGGCCGAATGAAATTATCGTTGAGCAGAATGATTAATTACAATAAGAATAATTATATTATTATATGTATTCGGCCTTCAGTATCTGTCTATATTTCTGAGATGAGGTATTATGTACACTATTTACATTATTCGGACTATTGTCCTCATCTTTGTCGCCATATTTATCACA